GTTGGGGGGGTAGAGCAAAGATGAGCAGCATTTGATTTTGAGGTTTCTGGGAGCTGTGAAAAGAATGGTAAGCTTCGAAAGCCAAAACACACCTGGTCCAATTCCTCACTGTTCTTTTTACTCTGCACTGCAGGCCTGGGCAACACAGGAAGCCTGCCTGAGATTCAGTGCCTCAACTGTAGGAGAATGATACCTATCTGCAAGGCTGTTTTAAGAAATAGAACTTATGTGAGCAATACGTTGGGAATCTGGCTGGGGAAGCATTTCCAAGTAGTGGTCATTTTGATCTTTTCTGCAAATTTATTATTGTTATTATTTTTAGATTTTGCTGTAAGATGTGTGGGCTCACCAGAGAGACAGAGACACAGAAAAGGGAGAAATCACCCTCCAGTGGGGATGGTCACGCTGCAGTCCCTTCTCCTCCATTCTCCTTTCGGGCTCTTGGGCACCAACACACACCGCCCAGCATGAGTTTTGAGCCACTTATCTGGCACTTGAACTGCAGTGGACTATGTGAGAGTCCAGCGACATAACCATTGCGCCATTTGCCGGTTTCAATTTTTTAAATTTATTTCTTCATTGAGAGACAAGGACCTCAAACAGTCTTCAAGCGAGATCTGTCCCCAGGCTCAGCTGCCCCCAATCACATGCACAACTTGGAGCTCAGAGAGGTCCCACATGCAAACTTAACAACCTTTCCTATTGGGTCCGGTTGTATTACCATTGTGCAACCACCTGGCCCTTGCAAACATTTGTAAACAGCTCCTAGTGTCAAGTGCTTTACCAGATGTCGCAGATACACAGATTAATAAATATACCTTCAATAAATGTAAAGCAGATGCTTCCTTTCCTTCCCACACGTCTGGAGTACAAACTCTTCACAAATAAAAATGTTGGGACATCATTACCGGTCAACACAAGCCACTGTCTGCTATTGGTGGAGAAGCAGCCAGGAGCCCCTGAATTAATAAAGTCTGAGAAAAAGTGGGTGGGGAGCAATGAAAGGGGAGATGAACCCTTTCAAGGTAGGTTGTGAGCTCACCAAGAAAAAGCACTACTCCTAATTGACTTTCTTGCCTACCAGGGTCCAGTACACCTTCCTTCCATTCATCGATTTGTTCATTCAATAATTATTTATTGGTGGGTCCAGTAGGTGGCATGGTGGTTAAGGGTGCTGGACTCCCACATGGCTGACTGTGGTTCGAATCCTGGACCTGGAGGCTTGCTTGCTCTCTCTCTCTCTCCCCCTCCCCCATCTCTGGTCAAATTAAAATAAATAAGAAATAAAGTTCAATAAAATAATGTTTAAATATTTATTGGGGGTGGTGTCACAGTGGTAAAACACAATGATCTGGGAGGCTAGACCCCATAGGAAACTTCTGGGTTCACATCAGGAGACCTCCTTGAGTATACCAAGCACAAAAGTACCCATGATCCAGGGCTGGCTGAGGCTCAGAGTGGATCGCAGCATCAAGACCCAGTTGAGGGTCCTCTGTTTGTCTCTCTTTCTGTCTGTCTCACTCATAGAAGAAACAATAAGTTAAATAAACAATAGATAGATATTAGGTCACAAGCCAGCAAGTGGGGTGAAGGTTAAGGCAGCTGGATCCCACATGGCTGACTTTGGTTTGAGTCCTGAACCTGGCGTCTTGAAAAACACTTCAGAAGATACCTGCTGTTTAGGGCATCTTAAAAAACACACAGGGTGCATGTGCTTGTGTGCCCAAAATTCCCCTGGTGGGGACTCCCCCACCCCATGTCTCTCTCCAATGAGTGCGTGCTCCCTATTGGGAGCAATCTAAAACAAACAAAAAAATTGTAAAAGAAAAATATGTTTGTATATAAAAATAGTTACTATATCCAATTAATTTTTACTTACATGTGTGTGTGTATATATATATATTGCTGGAAAGATATACATTAGAATATTGGCAGTGATTATGAGTAGAGCTGTGGTTAGAGTTTCATTTCCTTCTTTATGTTAGTCTTGCAGTCCCCAACATTCCTAGCACCAGGGACTGGCTTCATGGAAAACAATCCCTCTACAGATGATTTGCGGGGAGGGGCTTGGTCCCAAGATGACCCAAGTGCACCACATCTACCATGTCCCCCATTTCCATCACTACACATTGCAATGTATAATGAAACAACATATAACAATAGGATTCATGCTCTTGTAAGAATTCAATACTGCCACTGAACAAATAGAAGGCAGAGCCCAGGAAACAATAAGGGTGATGGAGAGTGACTACAAACACAGAGCTTCACTTGCTCACCTGTTACCTACCCCCACTCACTGCATACCTGGGTCCTCAAAGGCCATGGACCAGCACCATGGGAGTTTGGGACCTCTGTTAGTCTGTAATTTCCAGATAATCCTATTGCAATTTTGGAACAATGGATGACAAAAACAGCCATAGTCAATAATTTGGTGACAATTCATTACAATATCGGTGCAATTGACAAATAAATTGAGTTTTTTCTATTGCATATAGTAGTGTAAGATACCAACTAGAAATAGAACTGACAGCGCCACATCAGGACTACCACAGCTAGTAGTCACTGAACTGGGGAGGCCTTGTCCCAAGTGTTCTGGTTTCCATGGCAGCTTTATTTCTCATGGTAAAGCAGTTAATTGAAATATTCATCCACCAATGATTCTATTGGGAGTTTGGTTTGTTCAGGTCAGTCCCTAGAGTTGGGTGAAGTGATGATAAGAAAACCATTAGGTTGTAGGAAAAGTCGTGGCGTGTCTTTCTATGCAAAAATCTGTCATAACTTTTCTGATGACCCAATACAACTGCAGAGCATTTTACAAAGAACCCCTTACCCATACAACCCTACAAAGCCTCACACACGCATATCCAATACCTTTTCACAGATGAGAATACTAACTCAGAGATTAAATAATGCATCCTACGACCCACAGTTTGGTCGAGGCAGAGGCTTGAACCCAAAACTCTGGCTCCAAAACTGTTGTTCTGGCTAGATATTAAAAGGTATCTCTAGGCCCCCAAAACTAGAATGAATCAAAACCCTTGGATCAGGCCCAACTGTGATGGTACAGGCGGTAGAGATGCTGCTGTGTTATGCTGGAAGCCATATGAAAGGTTCCAGGTTCATATCCTAGATCTACCTAACTACGTGATCCCTGCTAGCTGCAGGGCCAGGAGGACTGTGGTGAAAGACCCAGGCCATGTGCCTGTCTCTGTCTCTCATGAAATAAATAAATTTTAAAAGGTTTTTTGTTTTTTTCTTATCAATCATGGGCTACCAAAGT